TCTTCAATACAACAGCTAAGAAATACAATATGATAATATCAGCGGAAAATCAAATGATGACATTAATACCACTACGGTGTAAATCGAAATTGATGGAAAATAATAAAGCCGAAGCAAGTTTAGATATCTGGGAATAGATATAACTAGTTACGGAGATGTTGAAGAAGAAGTACGACAGCAAAGCTTAAAAGCAAGTAAAGCGGCGAGATCTCTTAATGACACAAACAGGAGTGAAACAAACACATTAGTGGAATGGCAGAGGATATAATATTACGAATAACACGAGATAAGGCATCAAATGGACGAAGAAACTGGCAGACCAAGAAAAAGAAGGTGCGATAATTTAAACAATTTAGGAGGTTAATGCTGAAGAAGAAGCATGTTTTAAAGCCTACATACAAGAAGGGAAAAGAAGACCATTTCCGTTGCCTTCGTTTTGGTCTTGTGCCCTGGATTTTAATATCTAGGGCTGTTTTTGGCAATCGAGGAGTTCTTTACCTACAATGCTAATGTGGAATGGTATCCACATATTTTTTTTTCGTCTAGAGTTTTTAAAAGTTTCTCAAGATGACCTTTGGGATAGATCTGAAGGCGTTTAGTGAGTCACACAAAAAACTGAATTAGGAATGTCATTAGAATTGATATGCAGGGTAGCTTTATGCACTGCATATAGCTCAGTGGAGAAGATCGTGAAGTAGGTTGAGAAAAGAAATTGACATGCATTGCTTGGGGTAACGAATGCAGCGCCTACTCCTCTGTCAGACTTGGATCTGTCAAAATTTTATAATAATGCTCGTATTATCACTTTCAAGGCCTAATATAATGTTATCGATCATCGATTTTGTCGAAAACCATTTTGTTTATTTATAAGTAAATTTGAATTTTCTAGATGGCCAAAACAGCTTTGATTTGATATTTTTTTCTAGTAGATTGCCTATTGTACAAGTTAGGATTATTGGTCTCTAGGAATCAGGATCTAGACGAGATTTTTGGCTCTTGAGAAATGGAAAAATGATAGATTTTAACCATATAGATGGGTATTGATGTCGTTACCAGATGATGGTTCTTTTATTGTTGGAAATAAATTTGTTACCTCTTGTGATTGAAATATGTGTTATTATATTCATTTTGTGTGCAAAAATGTATCAAAATGTACACTCATTCATTCTATTTCAACTTAGAAGCCAATCCAAAAATATGTCTTTGAAAGAATTCCAGCTCTCTGTGATTAGAGGCGTTATTGGAGCTCCAGAACAATTAAAAAGGGGAAGACCATCAGCAGAAAAACCAGTGAGTAAATTCAAAAGGTATATTCCCTTGGAACTGCGCCATTCAAAGTCTTCTCATATGCCCCAAAGAACTACTTCTTTAAGATATGCCAACTGCAGCACGACAGGAAATGTTAGCATAACACAGGGAAATGTTCATCTCGAAATGGCGGACTTTGTCTCAAACACGACAAAAATTATTTTGCAACGTTCCATGCTAAACAATAGGTAGAATAGGAAGAAAGAAGTGCTACCTGGTTTTTATTTCTCATTAATTTTTTTGTTACGCTATGTTCCTGCTGGTAGCTGGCGAATGCCATGTTCCTGCTGGTATCTGGCGAATACTACATCCTGCAGGATATACTAAAATAAATTTCTGTTTTTTTTTTAATTTAATAAAAATCAGGCTTCAAAGGGTTAACAGAAAATATGTTCTAGGTAATCAGTGAAATTTTTTGTGTATATTTGACTTTAACCTTCAAATAGCCACATGATTTCGAAAAATGTTTTTTTTTTTTCAATGTTTTGATCTGTCAATAGTTGACTTGTGTTAACTGAATATCTATAAAATAAATCAAAGCCGCTTTTTCAACTTGTTTACAACACAGAAATATTTAAAAGTGCCGAAAATAAATCGACCCAGACTCCTTTGTTTCCAGCTTTTACAAAGAATTATTTATTTTGTCTAGATTCGTGCTGACTCCGTTTTTAAATTTCACAATACGGCTTGGCAACAGAGCGAATTCTAATTTGAGAAAATTATAAAACAAACAAGTCTCCAGTTTCGTATGCTAATTAGTGTTTTAATCTTAAAATAAATATTGACATTTATATAATTATTTCTATCGCTGTAATTCGCTACTTTTCTAAAAGCAGTCGGCCTTGACAGGAATTTTATAATAATTAAATAAACGAGTAGTTACTTAATTATTGATGCGAGATTTTTTGCAAAAATGGAAGTTTGATAATGCGATTTTGAATAATTTAATGAATGTTTTTCTAGTACGGAAGAAGACAGGGGCATCCATAATTTATAAGGATACATAAGTTTTAAGTGTCTTAGTTTCTAGTAAAATTTGCTTGTTGGAAACCAGTCTTTTACAATGAAAAAAGTCGAATTGTTGCTTTATAGACTCATATTGTAGATTGCAGATTTCGTACTGCAGTATCGGGCTACGTCGGTTCCATCTTTGTTGGCGAGCCACAAATCTTCGAGGGTACATCGATGAGGACAGTTTCTGCATGTAAAAAGATGTTCCATATTCTGTGTTTCTCCACAGAATGTGTTTCTCTGTTTCTGCAGATAGTACGCTGTCATTGTTCTTAAGGCAGTTTCGAGTTTCTCCTCCACTTCTTCAAAATTTTCTTGAGCAGATATTGGAAGATCGTCAGCATAGAGGAAGTGCTTGGTTTCGGTCGGTGTAGGTTGGTCGTTTGTGTATAAATTGAAGAGCATTGGTGCTAAAACACTTCTCTGTGGGAATATTCGACCCTACCCGGGTGGTGGTCATTGAGAGTGTCGATAATTTGCGGAGCAAGGTGCCTAGTGTCTGTGCTGCAATAAAAAATTGGTAAAAACTATGTTTACTCCAACAGATCTCAGCTTTTAAAAAAGCGTATTATCCGTTATGGAGAGATATTTTTTATAGTCTGCGAGGAATTACACTAGACAATTTTGCTCTACGCGAGAGTAAGATACTAAAAAATGGCAACAAGATCACAAGCAAAACCTGATTTTATCAGATCATCGATATAAACTGGCCCACCACCATAAATATTCCAAAAAAAGTATCCTAACATCCCTAAATGCAAAATACAAAAAAGTTTGCCACTCCTATCCACGGGCTTCCCCTCGTAGGGAATTTTAATTTGAGTGTTCTATCTACAAAAGTCAAAATGCGTTTTAAATGTGAACAATGCAGTTTTCGTATGCAATTTTTGTATTTTGCGGTAAAAAGTTTAAATTCAGCGTTTTTAGGCATATTTCAAATGCTTAATATTTGTTGCCAAATAATCTTAAAGTCAAAATTTTATGTTATAAGTTTTGAAGATTAGGTACTAATAATAGAAATTCTACAGCGACTTGTCAATGGAAGCGATACATTTGTTGATCTCATGAGAATCGTAAAAAATGGGGAAAATCGGCAAAATTCTTGTTTAAAACTTTTTTTTCTACTGCATACAGATTCTTGGCAAATCGATGTTTCCCATTCCCCTCCCCGCTCTTCATTACAAACGGGCTTTTAGGGGGAGCCCGAGGGTAAGATTGACAAACTTGTTTGGGGTAAAATTGACATTCTGCAAAATTCGTATGTTTGTATGATTTTTAGGCGTTCATTAGCATTTTCGTCTCGGATGACTTCTTCTCGTGCCACTCCTAGCGGAGATTGGAAATCATCATGGCCACTGCGACTTTGTTAGCAGCGCGCCTAAAAAGTTCAATCGAACTACACCCGAACCATTCACGTAGATTACGAAGCCACGATATTTTTCTTCTTCCCACACTTCTTTTGCCCTTAATTTTGCCCTGCATGATGTTTCTTAAAAGTTCGTACTTTTCACCTCTCACAATGTGCCCCAAGTATTCCATCTTTCTAGTTTTTATCTCATTTAGAATTTCGCATCTTTTGTCTAAAGTTTGGAGTACTTGCGTGTTAGTGACGCGGTCCATCCATGATATTCTGAGAATGCGCCTATAGCACCACATCTCGAAAGCTTCGATGTTTTTTATGGTCAACTGTTTTAGTGTCCAAGCCTCAACTCCATATAACAGGGTAGAAAAGACATAACACCGCAGCATTCGTATTCGTAACTTTATATTGATATCACGATTGCAAAAGAGTTTGCGCATTCTATTAAAGACTGATCTAGCGATTTCTATTCTACATCTAATCTCTTTTGTTTGATCAGTATCGTCTGTGATCCAAGCACCTAGATATTTATAACAGGGCACACGCTCAATCGTTGTATTGTCTTATTACAAGATTAGCTCTGATGTTCTTTGATTTCGTGATTACCATAAATTTAGTTTTTTTCAAATTAATTTTCAAGCCGTAACTGTTACAGTATATATTGAGACTTTGAACGAGATGTTGTAGTTCTACTAGCGTTCCCGTTAGGAGAACTGTATCGTCAGCATACCTTATATTGTTGACCGTCTCACCATTTATTATCAGACCAAGATCTTCTTCCTCGAGTGCTTGTTCACAGATAGCTTCACTATACAGATTAAATAAAAGTGGCGATAAAGATACATCTCTGCCGGACTCCTCGACGGATTTGAATTTCTTCTGTTAGTCTGCCCTCAACCTTGACATTTGCTGTTTGATTCCAATATAGATTGCATATAATTCGAATATCTCGGCTGTCTATATTTTTCTTTATTAGAACTTGTCTTAGTGGTTCATGTTGTACTTTGTCAAAGGCCTTTTCGAAATCAATAAAGCAGGCGTAAATTTCTGGTTCATGTCTAAGCATCTCTGTGAGAGAACGTTCATTGCAAACAGAGCCTCCCTTGTACCCAGCCCTTTTCTGAATCCCATCTGAGTGTTACTGATGTCTACGTCTAATTTCCTAAAGATCCTATTATGGATTATTTTTAAGAACAGTTTTAGAGCATGACTCTGATGACTGGACTACCTCTATTACGTGGTATTCTTTCTTAGCACTGATCCATATTTTTATGATTTTACTGTCGTTTGACGATTGGTTAAAATTATGTTTTGTTTTCAGAAATTTCAATGGATTGGTCCGACCATGCGCTTTGGTGGCCCGATAAAAATATATGGCTGACAAGAACCAGATCTACTCTAGACCAATGCGGAGTCCACGCAGATGCCTTACTTCATTTTACTCCAATGCACAAAATTCTCAGGCTACAATTACCCGATCTTAGGTAAGCAAAGAAGAATTTTTGCCAAAAAAGCGCCAATTAATAAGTAATTATAAATGAAAATCATCAAACAGAAAAAATGTATGTATGATGATGAAAATTTTGTAATAAATTGATTATATTCCTCAGTTGTAAATATAAACATAATTGTTATACATTTTCAGGTATTTGGATATGCGGGTTGACTTTTCAATCAAAACCTTCTCCGCTGTAGCTCAACTTTGCAAAGATCTAGGCCTAAGGCACCCCGAAGAATTGTCTCTTTCGAAACCACTGGAACCCAATCATTTAAAATACAATTATAAAGACTTGCCAAAGAAAAAGTACGAAAACGGAACGAATAGGAACGGACATCTTCCATCGGATACCAACACGTTTATAGCGAATAGCAGTCCGGGAGGCAGTAACGGAAGTTTGGATAAGTCTTACATGTGTGCTCCAGTAACTCCATCTCGAGGACCGCCAAGTTCAACACCTGTAAATAGCCCTAGTGGAAATGTAAGTCTTTGTTTTACTTTAATTTTAATCATTGGTGTTTCTCAAACATTCAGGTAAATGATTTTGCTGCATCCTTTTCTGTTCCTAACATCATCATCTAATAGCAGTGATCTTGTAGTGTAAGTTGCTGAAGTAAAATAATAATATTGATGTTAAACTACATTCATTTTACAAATTCCCAACTCGTGAAAGCCAAACAGGGTGGTACTGAGGTGTATCATATGATTTTTTAAAATATTTACTTTTGAAACTATTCGGGTAAGAATTTCTTGAAATTTAATCATTGTGAGCAAAATTTAATGTTCCATTGATGAAAAATGTGCTAAAATAAAATATTCATTAATTGAGAGATACATAACAAAGTGAACATTTTGAATAAAGTAGCATTGTCATAAGTTTATCAAAGCATAAAAACATACCATTTAAATTACTCACAGTCTAAAGACCTCCATGTGCTGCTGTCTTCGTCTGGATTTATTATTATGGGTTCGATATGGTTCTCTATTATATTGTCCACCTTCCACATTTTGGACTCTTTTTTGTTGAACGTAGTGCATCATAAAAAATATTTTTCATATCTGCAAATTTAAAAGTAACATATTTTTTTATTTCTCCCCAGATGAGCACAATCGGATTGAGCTCACAACGGTATGGGGCAACCTTAACATTACTTTGTTTTGGCTTTTTGCCATATTATCAATGATATATTTATTATATTATCCCTTATGTTCCTGATTTTTTTCCAATTTTCTGGAATGATAAGACGCGTTGTCCAATACGATGATGGAGTTGTCTTCTAATCGGGGCAGTATATTTTTGAACCAATTTTCGAAAGATTCCCGTCCATCTTTTCATGGTGATCTTCTTCTTCTTCAAGTGCCCTGTCCGTTGCGAACGTTGGCTATTAACATGGCAATTTTGATCTTGTTTGCGGCGCTTCTGAATAGTTCGACCGATGTGAGCCCGAACCACTTCCGCAGATTTTGGAGCCACGAGTGTCTTCTCCTGCCTGGCCCTCGCTTACTGTCTATTTTTCCCTGGACAATCAATTGTAGCAGACGGTACTTATCGTGTCTCAATATGTGCCTAGATATTCAAGCTTTCTTTGTTTAATTGTATTCACGATTTCTTTCTCCTTTCCGATTCTTTGGAGTACCTCTATGTTGGTGACATGTTCGGTCCAGGATATACGAAGAATGCGTCGGTACACCCACATTTCGAATGCTTCTAGTTTTCTCGTTAGCGTCTCCGTCAGCGTCCAGGCCTCCACGCCATACAGCAAGATCGGAAAAATGTAGCATTCATGGTGATCCCTATTTTTTTTTATTCAAACACCCACAGCCCTTGTGGAACAAACCCATCTTCACTGTCAATGTGACAGATTATTAGTCTTTTTCCTTTTCCTGAAAATTTTATTATTTTAAAATTTACTTGAAGTAAAGAAGCACATAGACATTTACCTGCAGGATAATTTAGCTATGTATATGCCAAATTTCATGCCAATTCAAGCGGTTCTTTAATATTTACGGCAAAAACCGTGAATAAATGAACTAAAAAGGAAATAAAACTTTTCGAAACATCAATAAATTTCAATAAAGTAAAATATTGGTTTCTCTTACCTTTATTAAAGTGATTTACCGCAAGCTATTTTTACTTTTGATTAACAACTACTTTGTTTTTGGATACTAAAAGTTCACTACACACTATACAACATATAGTATGTAGTTATAGTTATAGTATACTAAATACTTAAACTAAACTCTAAAAAATAACACGACCAGTAAATAACTTAACAATAACTATAACATTATAACACACAATATATTAACTTAAAAACCAACACGCTAACAATACAATACAATTTAAATATAAACAGACTGGCAAGTTTGGACCTGTAAAATGAGAATCCGTCTGGCTTAAGGCAATAAATCAATAAATTAAAAAAATCATACACGTGCGTTTGTTTACAGTTAAGAGTTTGTTGAACGAATGTACCATAGGACCTCAATATTAATATTATATATTAGGAATACCTACCCATTATATACCACAGCGCTACAGGCCTTGTAGGCCTCTGGTTTTCAAAATCTTGGTTATTTCCCTCAATTTTTTTAGTCCTTGCCTTTTCTCTCCAATGTCTCTCGCCTATTTCTGACAAGTCTTTCGATTCTCTGGCATTCGTATAATGTGACCAAGTCATCTACCTCTTTGAGCTCGTTTTTTTGCCGTAATTATTGGTTTTTCTTATAGCCTCATTTCTTTATTTGTTCGTCTTCTTCAAATATTCTTTGCCTCTGAATTTCTTCGAAGATTTTTCTAAGCACCTTTCTTTCCGGGATCTATATTTTCCTTTGTTTGTGCTGGTTCATAATTCATTTTTCGCTACTTCACCGTGGCAATAACTCAAAGATCGAAACAAAACAAAAAAAATCTAAAACAAACCTACAACATATTACAAAATGGCCCAAAAGTTTTGAAAACCCTTAGAGAATATGATAACATGTTATTGCTGCAAACTTTGTGTTTGATACATGAAAAATATGAACATGAAAAATAGATTCCTTAAAAATAAACGAAATACAATGTTTTGGGGGTCCCTTATTTTGCGGGAAGGTTGTATTTTGTTTTAATACAGTCAAAATCCGTATTTTAAATGTTTTTAATAATAAATAATTGATTAAATATTTTTATTTTCTGTATTGTAATCAAAGCGTCATTGTGTAATTTTTAGGGAACATGGAACAGAAACGGTTTCGGCAACGACATGAATGGCACATTAAATTATTCTGGATACGTACCTAATAGCGCAAGTCTCGAACAGCTTGATGGATCTTTTGATAATTCCCTGGCACACAGCCCGCCATCGCCGAGTCAAGAAGCCAAGAGACATCTTATTCGGCCGAAATCGTTAATAGAAAAGGCGCGAATGAATGTTGCGTAAGTATTCGTATTATATATATATATATATATATATATATATATAATATATATATATATATATATATATATATATATACACATACATACAATTTAATACATGTCTGTTTGAACTGCATTTAAAATAGTGGACCAATATAAAACTTGGACAAAAATAAATCCATACCTGGGTATAGACATTGTATAAAATATCGTTCAACTATCTGTCTCGCAACAAAGTTGTTTGCGTAAGACGGGTTTGTCTAAGGAGGTGATAATAGTTCAGGAATTGAAGCTCGAAAAAAGTTAAAAACCTCGCAATTTTTTCGTCCTGCATGTATCCAGTTGAAATTTTAGCAGAAGGTAGGTAACAGCCCAAGGATCAAAATCTATATCGAACCGAAGTGCGCTGAAGGGTTAACAGAAGGTAGGTAACAGCCCAAGGATCAAAATCTATATCGAACCGAAGTGCGCTGAAGGGTTTTAGGGGTGAAAACTACCCCTAATTGTCAAAAATTATAAAATAACATATTAAACCTGAATATGGGTAAGATTTGGTTTGAATTAATTAAATAATGATTATTTTATACTTTTGAATAGAGTTCCATCATATTTCAAACCCTTAAAAAGCAACTCTTGTTAGAGATTAATGTAAAAAATTACTAATTCTAAAAAAAATGATTTCGCCTTGTATCGATTTGGATAAAAATTTGGATTTAAGCTCAATTCACCCGCTGCTTTATAGTTTATGTCATGTCGACGAACCCTGATTGTTCTTAGGGTGAAAACTACCCCTAATTGTCAAAAATTATAAAATAACATATTAAACCTGAATATTCGTAAGATTTGGTTTGAATTAATTAAATAATGATTATTTTATACTTTTGAATAGAGTTCCATCATATTTCAACCCTTAAAAAGCAACTCTTGTTAGAGATTAATGTAAAAAATTACTAATTCTAAAAAAATGATTTCGCCTTGTATCGATTTGGATAAAAATTTGGATTTAAGCTCAATTCACCCGCTGCTTTATAGTTTATGTCATGTCGACGAACCCTGATTGTTCTTAGGGGTGAAAACTACCCCTAATTGTCAAAAATTATAAAATAACATATTAAACCTGAATATGGGTAAAATTTGGTTTGAATTAATTAAATAATGATAGTTTCGTGCTTTTCAATAAAGTTCCATCATATTTCAACCCTTAAAAAGCGACCCTCATTAGAGATTAATATAAAAAAATTTAATAATGCGAAGAAAATGATTTCACCTTGAAACGACTTGCATAAAAATTTGGAATTAAGCTCAACTCACCCTCTGCTTTATAGTTTATGTCATGCCGATGAACCCTGATTGTTCTTAGGGGTGAAAACTACCCCTAATTTTCAAAAATTGTAAAATAATATTACAAATCCTAAGATGAGTGAAATTTGGTTTGGATTAGTTAAATAGTGAGTTTTTTATACTTTAAAATACAAATTCATATATTTTCAACCCTTAAAAATCAATTGTTATGAGTGCTATAGGTGAAAACAATTTTTTGCCAAAATTTTGCAACTTTTCAACTTTTGAAAATCACCCTTTACAACATTGAAGTTTTTATAAACTAATTTATAAGATATAAATTGAAAAAAGTAGAATTAAATACAAAAAAAATTATCAACATAAAAAGGCACCATATATTCTTATACATTTACATAAATAGTTGAAAATATTTACATTTATAGGTAAAACAATTATAATATTAATTTTATTCGTCATCAATTACATCTTCATCGTGATCTATGTCATCATCATCTTCCTCAATTATTGGTGGACTGTTATTGCACCCTTCACCTGAGCACCCAGAACAAGTAGAGTTACAGTATAAACCAACTTTTCTGCACCCATATGAAACGCCGCATCCTTTTTTGCATTGGCAAAAAATAATTTTCAAAAATTTATCGGGTGCAGGTTGTTTGTTCATGCGTACGGGTAATAACAAACCATCTTTGGAAAACCATCCCCAATCTGTTGCTCTGATATTTTCATTGCCAAGCCATAGACATATGAGCAGATGTTTTATTCTGTTGTATGGGATTTCAAAATAAGAACGCTTAAAATTTCGAATGTATAACGCCCCACTAGCTAATATACCGGTTTTGTAGATTATTATGCTCCGAAATGTACTGTACTATACTAATGGAATTTTCCGGAAAAAAATTAACTGGTTTTTTTAACGTATTTCCTTTAATTTTTAATGATAGATGTTTCTTCAAAAACGATTTGTAGAGGTTTTTAATAGCTACAAGGATCTGTGAATTAAATCTTTTTGGAACCCTTGGTTTTTAAATGGGGTCAGTATAAAGGGCTCGAAAAAGATGGTGCTTAATCGTAAATCGATGCTTTAACCGGCTATATCTCACCAAATATTGATTGTACAACAAATCTAAATAAAGGATAATTTTAGTCATTAAAAAAGCTACAATTTGGTAATTTTTATTTTTTTCATATATTCAGTATTTTCGGGCATATTTAAAAAAAGAAGGGTAAAAAATATGAAATTGTAAATCGTTTCTCGCTTTAAGCTGTACTTTTTCTTAAACTAAGCATTTTAAATGGGTCAAACTTCTTGGACGTATTAACAATACATCTACAAAGGGAATTGCAGAAGGGTGAAGATCGATTTTAATTATGGGGATGGTTAGGGTGTTGTTTTCCTCGATTTTTTTTGTATTGAATTTTGTATTGACCTTATTTTTTTATGATAGGTCTATTTATGCTCTTTAAAAAAGGTTTTGTGAGTTTTCTTCCAAAAATGCATCATTTTCCCGATATTTGACTTTGAATCTTTCAAATTTGGCATTTGAAGAAAACCGCTGAACATTGATATTGTATTTGTAATTGTATTTGTCTTTATAAAAGCTACAAATTTGTTCTCTACAATTTTTTGATAAAATGCACCATTTTCGAGTTATTCGCGAAAGATCGATTAAAAACGTGGATTTTTTCGTCTAAAAGTTGTTACTTTCAATCGCGAATAACTTGAAAAATATCATTTTATAAAAAAATGTATAGCACATTTTTTGTTTAGAATCACTTTTCTAATCGAAACCTGTAGTTAAAACGTAAAAAAAATTTTCACCCCGGAGATGGGGTGGCAACCACCCCTAGGCTTTGGCGCACTTTGGTTCGATATAGATTTTGATCCTTAGGCTATTACCTACCTTCTGTTAAATTTCAAGTCAATCCACGCCGCACGAAAAAATTGCGAGGTGAAATGCTACATTTCCTGGACTATAACTGGTTTGACAGCATAAATCGTAGATTTATGTGTAGCTTTCAATTTTTATGAGTTCAGAATCCAGCAGCCCGCTGAAGTATGGGATTTTTATAATATAATTATTTGACAATATTTTGTTGGCCAACCACCTACAGCAGAATTGAGCCGAAATACATTATATTCCTATGTTCCGAATTTATTTCGTTCAATCTGTATATTATCTCTCTTTTTATACCTATGAAAGGTTGGCTTTCATAATTACATTTTTGTATAAGTTTCTATTTGGTTCATCTCGTACTGGTCATGATGGTTTTACTAAAGATATATAATCTGGTAGTCGTTCTATGGCTCTCTACATCCTTATGCCGTTGACTACTTAGTAGTTCTTCTGAACTACTTAGTAGTTCTTCTGATTTCTCAACTCCAGAACAAGAGTGCCCTACCACTTTCCAACTCATCCTCCCGAAGCCGATGGTTATCAGAGCGGAGCCATACCTCTTTTTGTTTGCATGCCGGGCGATGCTGACTGGGTGGCTACGTTCATCACGCAACCAAACCCCCGTCATCCGAAAACCGGCATTCTCCTGCTGGTCTGTTCCTCTCGGTTCCGAATAGACCAACAGCGTATGGCCCGATGGTTGATCAGCTAATATTGATTGAGATCTACCACCCTCCTCTGCATTTACTAACTTTACTAAGCCAAATCGAAGGCAAATATAAAAAAGTTTAAAGAATAGTTAAAAAAAGTATAGAAAAATGGACATTCACAAACATAGAAAAACAAAAATGTACGCTGGTCAATTATATTGTAACGATGAGTCCAAGCCATCACCGTTAAACCAACGTGCGCGCGAACCAACCCATGAAGTAGGAGTATATCGATAGTAGAAAGGGCAAAACTAATTACCAAGCTCCGCTATATAAACCGCAACATTTCCTCATAGAGGGGGAATCGACAGGTGTTGACTGAAGGTTCTCTTCTTCCCTACCCCGGTTGTGGACGTGTTGAGTTCACAAGTTGTTCCGTCCCATACCGCCGTTACCCGAAGAGCGTGTTGATCTCTTTACTACCCATACTCTGAAGCAGTCGTGTTGAGACTGTCGAGGAGTGTCCTGTTAACCCGAATCACTTAAGGGACGTGTTGAGTTCCTTTCCTTTCTTTGTACCTATCGTCCGCTGTTATTAAATCGATACAACGTTCCCGTAAAATTTCAAATACACATTCGCTTGCCCATAAAACTAATTTCATATGACAAGGTCAAACTCAATTTGAATAAATAGGCCAGGTACTGAGAAGACTAAACCAAATTGTAAATATGTACATAAGATTTTTTGTCAATTTAATTTAAGGAAGACAATAAAGTTTTATTTTTGTTTTGAACTGACTGTCTAAAAGCTACCCGGATAGTGACTCCTACGAGAGGACATCACAATATAAAAACCTAACTAGAACCTCTACTAGCGTAAAACCCCTCGATAGGAAAAAGTCGGCACTTACAGTCGAAGTAAAAAAAGTCACTTATGTTAGGACCTCATAAAATGACTATGAATATGGATACTACCCCAAATTGCTTTTGTAATAAAATTGCGGACGTCGAACCTTGAATCGAGCCTCAGTATACAGCGCCGTTTTATTGGCGGCGGCTGTACTTAAAGGTTCAGGATCCGCCCTGCTGACGATAACGTTCACGACAATTACCCGCTCATCCTGTTGCGCGACAAGGTCAGGTATCTTAAGAGTCCCGTCGGCACATCTTATTCTTGACTCTGTCTCGTAAATCCACCCTTTCTTTTCAACTGCTTTGCGAAAATACGTTACAAGTTGATTATGTCTCTAAATTCGGTGCCAGTGGGTGGTTCGGTAAGTGGAAGATTGCTTATACCGGCAATCACTCAGACGCTAGAGCACCGAACAACCCGAAGGTGCACTCCGATAAATTTACTTTGGTAGCTGTCAGACAAATTCGGTGACCTTGCGCCATTTTTTTAGTGTACAATGTCAGTATTTACGATTGCACAAAATCAAATTATTAGCGAAACAAACAGTGATTTAACCTAACAACAAACACAAAATGATCTGTCAACGACGTGACTGTGAACTAAAAATATGGCCGCTGACCTGCGCAAACCAGATGCGCGAACAATTACCGCCGAGTCGAGTGCACCTTCGGGTTGTTCGGTGGCTAGAGCCCAGTTTGTTATCTAGCAATATACATCGAATGATCAGTGTAGGGGAAAGGATGAGGTAGCTCATTCGATGATTTAAAAGTTAATATTTGAAAAACTATATTCTCACCGGAATATCATTCGACAGACAATTATTTACCGACAAAATTTTCTTCTGGTAAAATGCAGAAAATTCAAGTTTGTTCAACTAACTTTCATACCAGTCGACAATATTGCCGGCAAAATTTTCTCTGTTATGATATTATGTACGATAAATGAGTAACACTAATTCCATCAATTCATTTTTATTTTGCTAGTCTTGACGAATTCCGTTACAATACCATATATCTATATGACAAACCGCTGTCCTAACTTGGTCATTTACGAAACTCGCGGTTTTTATAGTCATTTGTACATTTTATTGTTATCACATATTTTGCGAAACTAAGAATAAATATTACTAATTTTATTGCGCAAGTAAAGAAATAAATGTGCTGGTTTATTCTTACCTAAATTTCTATTTACATGGTGACTACACTACAAAATGTTGTGTGTATGTTGTGTTTATCAGGTTATCGATTTTAATCATAACTAAACAAACTTGGATTTTATAGGATTAACTTGAATTGCATATGATCAATTAAAAATAAATTAATTATAAAATGGTTAATAATTGATCTATAGAACACATGTCACCTTGGATTTTAACAATTCTTCTTGGGAAGCCTGTCCGTTCCGAACGTTGGCGATCATTCTGACTATAATGACTTTGTTGGTTGCTATACGAAATAGCTGTGTTGATGTCTTTCTAAACAATGCTATCAGGTTAGCACGCCAGAATATTTTTCTTCGTCCTGGGGCCCTTTTTCCTTCAATTTTACCTTGCAAAATGCATTGGAGTAGCTCGTATCTGCCTTGATTTCTCATTATATGCCCCAAGCACGATGGCTACTTACGGATCTTCACGATGTTGACCAAATCCGTGGTTGGACCAATCCAAATGAACGGTGTTCATCCTCCGTTCATCCCACGTTGGGCGCCAAAATTGTAACGAAATATTTTGAATACCACATAGGGTATTATTATGGGGGTTGAAAATTGGGGACAGAATTTCAGAAGAGACAGAAAAGAGAGTACTTACATGAATCACCTGGACAAATGGGCAAATGGACAAACAAAACAACAAGAAGGATCTCTAGCTATTTAAACTGGAATTTAAACTCTCTGCCACACGAACAAATTCATCTCCACTGGGAAAAGTATTTTGAAACGACTTCTTAGGACATTGAGGTTGAAATTGGGACACTGGGCTCCGAAAAAAAAAAAAAAAAATGGAACCATCGTGGTTACTTTTTAAATTTGTTGTAATCGCCGGGTTACAAATATCTCATATGAGAGACGGCTTACAAACAAAAAAAACAGTGATTACTGGTTCAGAGCTGACATATCACATTGAGTAAAAATCACGTTTTCTAACAAATTTTGCCGGCTTCTTCACACTACATACCGACATATGCTCACCATCACCACCCTATCAAACCTAAATTCCCTTCGACCTTCCTAATATCGGCCGGTTACCAGTTTTGGGTCTCACCTCTGCACCGTTTCTTACAATCAAACAACCCAGAATTCTTGTTAAACCGCTTCGAACTATCTCGCAAAATAACCTTGAATCAAACAACTTTTTAAAATCTTAGAAATAACGCATACAAATAGATAAAACCATATTTAAAATCGCAGTTACCTGGAATTTAGAATTCATCTACTAAAAGATGAAGATTCTAAATAATATATTTAATTGCCCTTATTTGTTAATAAATATTATATGCCTCCGACCTGTGACGGGAATTTTTGTAGTTATAATGTATAGTGTATATAATGTATACCCAAAAACCCCATTTGCAAACTAGCTGGGCCAGTGCCCCGACAAAAAACTTATTTTCGTGTACTGTAGCTATATTAAAGTGGCCTGCTTTAGATTTGAGTTAATGATGGCAAAATTTGATACACACAATATAGTTACATAGATTATAAAATTAACTTTTATAGATTATGTCTAAGAAAATATGTTAAAAATTCTTTTGATAATTGTTTAGTATATTATTAACGTTTGAATTTGTCATGTTTCTTATCATTTGATTTCTACCTGTATATGTCAAAACCCAAAACCAATACTTTGTACATATTTTAGGTGGTTGGATTCATCACTCTCAATTATGGAGCAAGGAGTTAGAGAACATGACACATTGTGCTTAAAATTCAAATTCTGCTCCTTCTATGACTTAAATCCTAAATACGATGCTGCAAGGATCAATCAAATCTTTGAACAAGCCAAATGGCAATTGTTGAATGAGGAAATTGATTGTACAGAGGAAGAAATGCTGCTGTTCGCCGCATTACAGGTAAATATAAATGAAATTTCTTTCACTTTACTTTTCTTATTAAATTACTAACCCAATATCGGATGAACATTCAGAATTTTAAATTCTGCAAGCATTGGATACTTTATTCTTAGCTATCTACATTTTTAGTATACCGTTGCTTAGTAAATATATTTCCTTTTCAGTTGCAAATAAAGTTACAAGCAAATCAACCGCAGCCTGCGTTAGATAACGGAAGCGCTCCATCTCCTATAGAAGACGATATAGATGCCGCTTTGAACAATCTTCAAACAACTTTAGAAGGATCCAGCCTTAACACTTACTCCAACGACATCACACAAGTGCCTGAATTGAGGGACCAACTACGGTTCTTAAAGTAAGTAAAAATGAGTTTTAAGTCATAAAAATAATTTTGAACTGTTTAGTAAGGGTTTTTTGTTTAAACATTGTAGGCCTAAGCGGTTTACTCTAAAGGCTTACAAGAAATACTGGTTCACTTGTCGAGACCTCCATCTTTTCATGTATAAAACTAGGGACGATATGCTGAGCTCCCAGAATCAGGTGTTCAAAACCAGTTTGAAGGGTTGCGAGGTTACTCCCGATGTGAACATTACACAAAACAAATATGTTATAAAATTGGAAGTGCCTAGTCCCGAAGGAATGTCCGAAATGTATATACGCTGTGATGATGTAAGTATGTTATAGATGTATAGGTTTGTTTTCATGTATTCAAAGACCTTAATTTAGTGTACATTATTTTATTTATATTCCGTTGCATATCAAGCAATGACAAATGACATGTCTAGGTCATCAAAGTACAACAAACTGTTTGGAAATTCCCTTACATTAATTTTAAAAGTGTAGAGTCCTTTACCGTTTTTTATTTTAGGAAACCCAATATGCAAGATGGATGGCTTGCTGTAGACTAGCAGCGAAGGGTAGATCTTTAGCAGATAGCTCTTATGAAACCGAAAAGAAGACCATATTGGATTTCCTCCACTTGCAGAGGCCTTCAGAACAACCAGTTCTGAATCCCAATGGCTTGGATTTGCAGATAGAGGATTACATTGCTCCTAAATATCTGAAGAAGTCTAGAGGAAAGGTAAGAATATATTTTAATTTATTAAAACTAAAGTATTTAGTATCTAATGAATTAAACAGTTTAAATGATCTAATTTCTACTTTTGGCTTAACCATACATATTAATGAATTTACTAGAATCACAACTAGATTAGCAACTTGTTTAGATAACGTCTTAACAAACATAAGCAGTGAGATAGTTGGTTGTGGAATTGTGGACCCATGTATTTCTGATCATCTTGCTCAACTTTTCTCATCATCATTGCTGCTACAGCCCTATAAGAGAGCCTCAACCTCAACCTTCCCAAGTCTATTACGCCAGTCAATTCTATCCATTGCCAACTGTTACCAGTTTGCTGCGCCTATTTTTCTACCATCCTCATCTACAACCATCTCTCCATCTGAGCTTTGACCTACCCCTACTTCTACTTCCCACACGTTGTGACATAAGAATTCTTCTAGAGGGTTGTTCTGCTGTGATTTTGCCAGATGTTCTGCGAATCTTAGTCTTCGTATTTTTATAAGAGGTACTACGTCTTTACCACCAAATATATATTTATATCTGTGATATATCTCGGATGGAATAATATCAAAACAGCAGTGCTGACAGCAGCAGCGTCCACCGTGGGAAACAAGAAAAAAGAAGAGAAGAGGAACATGGTTTGATGACGAGTGCAGGCAAGCGATAGAAGAAAGAAACGAAGCGCACAAAATGTACATAACAAGAAGAACACGGGAAAGACGAACATCATTTGAAGTCGCAAGACGGAAAGCAGACAAGATATGCAGAAACAAAAAGAGAGCTTATGAAAATGGACAAATAGAAGAAATGGAACAAAATTTCAAAAAAAAAAACGAAATTAGAGGAGCTTACGAATACCTAAAAAAGATAAAAAGTGGATATAAACCTCAAACAAGCCTATGCAAAGATGAAAGTGGACAAATAATCAGTGACCAACAGAAAGTCACAGAAACCTGGAAGCATTATTTTCAGACCCTACTTGGAACACAAGTAGATATGGAAGATGATATGGGTACGAACCATGTAGAAGAGAACGAAGTTGAAGTAGAAGCTCCAACCATAGAGGAAGTTCTCGAAGCTATTAAGGCCCAGAAAAACAATAAAGCCCCGGGAGTTGACGAGATTCCAGCAGAACTGTATAAGGTAGGTGGCAACCACCTATCAAGTCATATCCACGCGCTTATCAAAGAAATATGGCAAGAAGAGAAAATACCCGACGAATGGAAGAAAAGTATAGTATGCCCAATCTATAAAAAAGGAGACAAACTCCAATGCAAAAACTACCGTGGAATTTCTCTACTATGTACAGCGTATAAAGTCCTCACGTATATTATAAACCAGCGACTCCAACCACTAGCAGAAAATATTATTGGAGAATATCAGACGGGCTTCAGACGGGAAGATCGACAATGGATCAAATATTTACAGTCAAGCAGGTCTTGAGCAAATCGTGGGAACACGACATTGATGTTCACAACGTGTTTGTAGACTTCAAACAGGCATACGATTCAGTCAAAAGGGACAGACTATACCATATATTGGCAGAATTAGCAATACCACATAAGCTAATTAGACTCATTAAAGCCACAATGGATGAAACTCAGGCATGTGTACGAATACAAAACAACCGGACAGACTTTTTCAAAATCTCGCAGGGACTAAAGCAGGGAGATGGGCTGGCACCAACATTGTTTAACCTGGCACTGGAGTATGCGGTTAGGCAAATGCAAACTGGACGAGAAAACCTACTGACCAATAAAACGGTTCAACTGGCTGCCTACGCCGATGATATTAATATTATGAGTAGAACATCAACAGGAGCACAGGAAACATACGCAGAGTTAAAAACACAAACGAAAAGGCTAGGTCTGGAAATTAACACAGAAAAAACAAAAATAATGGTACAGACGAGAAGAAATATAATCCCACAAAACATTATACATGAAGATGACATTGAAACGGTTGGAAAGTTTACATACCTGGGAGTAGAAATATATGCCGATGGAGCAGAGGATGGAGAAATACGAAAAAGGATAACGCAGGCAAACAAAGCTTATTTTGCCCTCTCCCATATATTTCGGTCTAAAAGTGTCCACCGAAATACAAAGATGAGAATCTATAAAACTTTAATTCGGCCAATAGCATGTTATGGCAGCGAAGCATGGGTCCTGAAAGAAACATTCAAAAACAAACTCGACACATTCGAAAGAAAAGTACTGAGGAGAATACTAGGACCTGTGAGGGAAAACGGAATCTTCAGAATTCGATATAACAACGAGCTCTATCAACTGTATAAGGAAACACCCCTGTCAGACTTCATTAGAATACAAAGATTGCAATGGGCCGTACATGTGATACGAATGGGAGAGGATAGGCTACCAAAACGAGCACTGAACGCCAGAATGCAGGGAAAGAGACCAGTTGGAAAGCCAAGAAAGCGCTGGGAAGACACAGTAAGCAGCGACGCACAAGCACTTTTAGGAGTCCGTGTATGGAGAAGAGCAGCCACAGACAGACAAGGGTGGAGGCAAAAAATAAAGGAGGCCAAGGCTCATTTTGGGCTGTAGTGCCGTAGAAGAAGAAGAAGATATATCTCGTAGTTGTACCTCCTTCTCCAAACACCATTTTCACAGATGCCACCGAATATTCTTCTCAGGATCCTTCGTTCAAATATAAGCAGAAGGTTTTCATCTGCCTTTTAAATGGTCCATGTCTTCGATCTATATATCAACACTGGTTGTATAAGGTTTGTATATGGATATTTTTGTTTTTAGGCTTAAGTTTCTGCTTCTTATATGTCTCCTCAATCCAAAATAGCATTTGTTTGCTAGGACAAATACTATTTTGTCTAAGGAAAATAAGTGGGGGTCAAAATATAATGAGAAACCCGGTACAAACTGCCAAAATAGAACTAAACCAGCATTGCACAATGTTGCCTATACAGGATTTACAAGTGTGCACAATATATTAATTCAGTGTAGGTGTCACTTACATCAGCTCGTATATCAGAAATAATAGTGATCGTTGACTAGCTGTTAAAATGCTGTCCTTCGCTATATGGGTTACAATCATCGAGCAAAAAGACAAAAGAGGGAATCTAATCCTTATGAAAAGGAGACCAAAAAAGTGGCCTCTGATGGCGGACATATCCGGAAATGCGAATGCGCCAAATTTAAATTTTCCGACACTTATCAACAGTAGCTATATAATATTTTTCAGAATGTGTCTTAGACGAGAAAGTTTTAATTAATTAATAACGATAATAGTCTAAAATGCGACACAATTGTTAAAAAACTTCACTATAAATAAGATTTCATGTGACATTTGGGATAAACAATAACATAACCCAACTAAATTTGATGTCAAACAAGGAGAGAGACTCTCTTTCCTTGTTTAATGTGGCCTCTAAAGATCGCATTTCCTGTCGTAACAATATGTTTGCCCCCACTACCGTTACATTCCCTCTTTTGTCTTTTTGCTCGATGGTTACAATAAATATCTTTTTTTTTATTTTAGTTGACTCAAAGAATCTTAGAAGCCCACGCCAACGTTAAAGACCTTAGCCTCATCGACGCCAAAATGAACTACATTAAAGCCTGGCAACTCCTTCCAGAATTCGGAATCAGCCTGTTCGTCGTCAAGTTCATGAACTCCAAGAAAGAAGAACTATTAGGCGTCGGCTACAACCGCATCATGAAGATGGACATCAACACAGGAGACCACCAAAAGACGTGGAGATTTAACACGATGAAAGCTTGGAACGTCAACTGGGAACACAAACACATGATGGTTCAATTCGAAGAAGAAAACATCATTTTTAGTTGCTTATCGGCGGATTGCAAGGTCATCCATGAGTTTATCGGAGGGTACATTTTCTTGTCGACTCGATCGAAAGATGCCAGCCAAACGCTTAACGAGGAGTTATTCCATAAATTGACAGGGGGGTGGTCGTAGATTATAAAAATTAGTGCCTTTAATGAAATGTGTCAATTAATATTTTTAGAGCACGCTTCCCTCAGTAGATCTTCTTATTATTAAGATTGTCGAATCTCTCACAATACAATAAGTTGTTGGTGATATATACTACACAATAAAAATAGGTGCCAAATAATCTATTGATTCTGTGTATCGATATTTTTCATTTTGGAAATGATAGATTAATAAACCAAATACTTTTAAAACAGTAGACGTCTTCAAAATTCAATATTAATGCTGCAGTTCCATGATTATTACTTCCAACTTGTTATATCCTTACTATTATTGATCCTGAACACCAGTTTTGTCATATACAATAAAACTGGATGAGTAAAGAGAACCCCAGCAGTTGGGCGCTATCTTGGAAAACGTAAAAATTAATCCAAGGGTGTTCTGTCTTTGAATTTACCATTTAATTACGAATAAATGGATGAACTGTTTTCCAGAGCTTCCACACTAAAGTTGATAATAAGTGATAAGCCATAAATTAAGTAAAATAATATATAGCTTCCCTCAAAAATAAAAGCGCACAACCCTGTAACTTCGTTCCTTTTACTTCTGGGCAAACGAAATTGTTCGCCTGTTAGAGGACCAACATGTTTAGATCGAAGTCAGCTTCCCGACACACAAACGGAAAGTAAAGTCCCTGGGTTCCTTTGCTGACTTCGCTATTGACATTAAACGGTTACCTATGGTTGGTAAAAATTTAATTCAAATTCAATATCCGCTGATATTGAACTTTCTCTCTATTTGAGATATTATTTCAAAATTCATGCGGATTGAGACAAAAAAGCGAAATAAAAGAAAGACAATACCATCTTGTTAGAGAAATCTGGCAGTACAAATAAAAATTTTGATTATATTTATTCTCTCTGAAGATTTTGAGACGCAATTTAGAATTACAAATAAAAACATTACGAAATTTATATAATATACAGAGTGGACAAAAAACTGCTAGTTTTAGTATTAATGTTAACTAAATGGAGCTAACAGCATTATCAGGTTAATGTTTTCAATAATATTACTTATATACTTTACTATACTGCAAAATATTTGCAACTTACACCCATAACGTGTATTTTCTGCATTTTTAAAAAAGAATTGGTTATCTTCTAATAAGACGATCTATTGTAATTTTTGTGTAAGATTAAAACAATAATAAACCTAATTCAAGTTAATAGTTTTAATAATAATTGATCCAGATTTGCTTATTTTGAAATTGTTTTATATGTTGATTTTTGTAAATAATATTGTCAGTATTTCGGACGAGTCGAGTGGAATTCAGTATATTTAATTTAAGAATCGACTGTCACGTCAAATTTTTAACATAATTATGATATAATTATATAATAATCGCTATATAAGTGACATTTCGTAATGTTGAAAACGAAGCATTTTAGTTTAAAATGTATAAATACAAATGACAGTTTTACAGTTGTCATTTGTCAGTTGTCAAGACAAAAAACATTGTGTATATGCGTCAGTGTCAACCATTTTTTGTATTGCTTTTTTAAACCAGCACTAAGTTAAACAATACTAAAGAAAGTATAGTTAATTAAAAAAGAAATACGAAAATAAAGAAAAAAAAGTGCCTCAATTAGCAAATAAATTTTTTAATCGATTTTATTATGATATCTGTACGAAATGAAACAACGAAGAGGTGTCATTATGCAGTATGTAAGAGTGATACACGCTTTAAATCATTTAAAGACAATACATATTTGATCAATTTTCCAAAGTGACCATACCACTTAAGTTATTTGTATTTTATGTGGTCAATGATAGTTTTCAACGTTCATACATTTACAGATATCTTCATTGGTGAATCTTTTTTGGCGTGATCTTCCAGCTGACCTTCTCCAGAAGTCCATTTCCATAGCTAGAAGTGTTTTTTCTGTTTTGATTTTTAGTGGTCAAAATTGGGAACTATATGTGATAATATTTTGTATAATGGCCTGGTATATCCTTCTTTTGTGCCTATCTATCTATCTAAATTAGCCTTCTTCGGTCCATCTTTGGACCATAAATATATATATATATATATATATATATATATATATATTATATATATATATATATATATATATATATAATATTATATAATCCCAAGATTTCTAAGAGGAACATAGGGCTTCCACAAAGTGTCTCCAGCGAACTCTATTTCTGGCTAGTGCTTTGATTTCAAGCCAGGATTTTCCCATTGTTCTCCCTTCGTCCAGTACTGTCCTTCTCCAAGTTCCCTTAGGTCTGCCTACTTTCCGTCGGCCTTGGGGATTCAATCCTGCTGCCTGGCAAGTCATTGGCGCTACGGATGTGTGCCCAGCCATCTCCATTTTCTTCGCCTTATTTGCTTATGACATTTTCTTGGTGCTTGGTTCCATAATTCATTGAGATTCGTTAGGCCAAATATACGAAGGATTTCGTAACGCTCTAACTTTGGACATAGGCCTCCCAAATCCTTTGCCATCTTCTCTGTCTGCGTACAGTCATCCACCTAGAGCCCACGTGCTTCTGAGTCGTCTCCCATCTCATTTGGTGCCTTCCTCTGCTTCGTTTATATTCCCACGGTCTCCGACTTATAAGAATTTTGTTCCATCGGTCTTCTTTTTGTCTTATTATATTTTATTTATTTATAATATATTGTGTCCGACAAATCTCCATTTCAATTTTGCAACTTCTTGTCTAACATCCCTCACTTTTGTTTTCTCTCTTATCCACTCGTTTCTCTTCTTATCCATTAGTCTTATGTGCAACATTTGTCTTATCATTGCTTTTTGGGTTTTTATGATTTTATCAAAGTTTGCTTTTGTAAATGTCCACGTAAGCGAATTATTGCCTCCCCCAGATACGGTGAGGCAGACTTTTGAGGTGTTGGATTCAGAAATTTTCTTACCCACCTGGAGACCATTTCCTTTTGTTTTATTATTCGCCATGATAGAAGCAGAGGGGACCACGCTTGCCAGGCGGGTTGGTGAGTTAGTTATCAGCCGCCCATTCTGGGTGAGACGCTGTTTGTAGCCGTCCACTCTGGATCAGACTCTACATTTAATTTTATACAAACCGTAAAATCGGGAGTACCCCTTCCGCCATACACACCGTACCGAAGATGTTCTTCTTCACACCGTTGTGGTCTTCATCCGTGATCCTGGACAAGGGACCCTAAGCAGGTACTAGTTTCCCGGGTCAGGAAACTCCTGGAATCTGTGGAGGGCAGGGACTGATTCACTTTCCCTGGTAGGACTGTCCAAGGGAGTTCCTACCCGCTACCCGTATCCTTGGTCCCATCATTTGTCAATTTTATTCTTAAATATTTGTACGTTTGGTTATATTGTAATCATTCTCCATCATTTAAGTATCAGATCTCTTCTTCCCCCTAAACTCATATTTTCAGTTTTGTTTATATTTACCTCCAGGTCCCATTTCTTGTATTCTTCGACTAGTTTGCTGGTCATATGTTCTAGGTCCTCATATTCTTGGGTAAAACATAGTATATATAGTATCTTGTGTTCTATTAATGGAATTCCCATATTTTTACACTTCCTCTTCCAATGTCTCCCAAGGCATGCTTCAAATATATTTTAAATAGGGTCGGTGAGAGGCAACGTCCTTGTTTGGCAAAACATTTGTCGTCTTCACTTTTATAACGGTGTTTATGTGTAACTCTTTCACATAATAATTTATTAGCGTAACACCAATGTTCGACTTTCGAAGACTTTCCGCAGTTTTGATTGAGGAAAACTGTCATAGGCTTTCTTCAGATCGACAAATAAAATCTGCATTTCTTGATTAAATTCCCTTTTATTTTCTACTGTGTGGATAATAGTAAAAGGTGATCGACAGTAGTTCTTTCTGCTCTAAAAATGTTGTTGTCTTCATTAGATTAAATTAACAAGAAATCTATATTTTTGAACTAAGATAAAAGTTCTTCTCTACAAAATGTTTTGGAAGTACTCTTAAGTATTTTAGCGTTTTGTTAACTATTTTAATGGGTTTCATCGAACTCGGTGATTACTTCACAAGCACTGCAAAATTTGACACAACTTCTGCTTCACTCAACCATGCTTTGCCATTCGCCTGTGGCGAATCTACTCCGTGTATTACTGTGTTATAAAAAGTGCACAGTTAATTATACGGTAGTATATATAAACAAGAAAGAATCGATTGATTTGTATGGACTGATTTATTACAAAAGTTTTGTAATGCAGTAATGGACGGAGCTACAGTTTTACAACAATAATGAGGCCTTAATCATATAAAAATATATTGCTTTAATCAGCCAAATATCCTATGAAACTACTTCGTAGGTGTCTTTTTTGGTAATACTATATTGAATTTGACTCACTCGAGGTTAAAATCTTTTTAATTGGATTATATTTATTGTAATATAATTGTAGTGCTTATATATTTACACTGTCGAATTTGTTGCCTTTCATGTTATATATTACGTATATATTAATGTTACTAAATATTCTAGACACTATTTTTACCACGTTTATATTTTAACTTTTTAAAAATTACATGCAATACTATACAGTACATATACTATTTTATATAAATTGATTTATGTACAAAAGTTATTAATAAAGTATAACAGTTTAATGGTGTTTTATTTATTTTGGTTGAGTTTACTCTGTTTACCGAAGGTACAGTTTGCGGTCACGGAATAGTTTACCACCTTACTTTTTATATTGTAATACTGTAAAATTGCAGTGTCGTACGGATTTGATAAATGTCAAAGTCAAAAAATTTCAAAACGTCAATGCTTTCGCGAGTGTTCAACAATAAAATAAAAGTATATTAAACTCTTCCAAAATGGTTAGAATACATTTGAATTATGCGCAAAAAGCAAGAGCAATTGCCAAACTCGAAGAAGGTTGGTCACTAAGGCAAGTTGCTGCTGATTTGAACGTGAGTCATATGTGCATATGGAAGATTAAACAAAGATGGGATAATTTTCACTCTATAGCACAGTTGGGCGGTTCAGGAGGGCAGAAGATTTCCACAGATCAACAGGATGAGATGTTAGTAGATTATTTGAGAGAATCTCCTTTTGCCACAGCTCAAAAGGCAAGAGAAGAGGCAGCGTTTCCAGGCAGTATTCGCACTGCACGTCGAAGAATTAAAGCAAGTGGACTGCTAAATTGTGTAGCTGCACGGAAACCTTTTTGACTGAGGATCACAAGAGGAGACGAGTTGAATTTTGTAATGAATTTATAAACCGCGATGAGAATTTTTGGTCTAGGGTTGTATTTTCCGATGAAAAAGTATTTCAGTCGTATAATAATGGTCGAATAAGAGTTTATAGGCCGAGAAATCATAGGTATGATGAACAGTATACGCATCATTTAAGAAATAGTGAGGATTCTCTGTCAACGTATGGGGATGGATATGTGCCGAAGGCCCGGCGTTTGTTATCATGTAGAGGAGAAGTTAACAGGATTATATTACAAACATATTATTGAGCACACAATGTTGCCATCGGTGATCCAGAGATTCCCCAACAACGACTTTATCTTCCAACATGACAATTGCCCGTGCATACGAGTAGAATTGTTCGAGAACGGCTAGAAGAAACTGATGTTAATGTTCTTTGCCGTGACCTTCCCGTAGTGCAGACTTTAACCCCGTCGAAAATGTGTGTGCAGAGTTAACAAAGAAACTAAATGAAAGAAACCTTAGACCACGGAATAGAATTGAATTATGGGAAGCAATTGAGCAGGCATGGGAAGAGCTTGTTAACTATAACATGAGGGGATTGGTGCTATCTATGAACAGAAGACTGCAAAATTGTATTGACAAGAATGGGGCTTCCACCAAATATTAATTATTATTTATCATTGTTTATCGTTATTTAATATAAAATAGATTTAAAATAAAATGCATATTAAAAAAAAGACTTCTTTATTTCGTAATTAAGATCATAATCCATTTTATTCAAAAAACTGTTTTCTATATTTTTCATTTTGTAAAATATTTTGATATTTTAATTTTAATCTACCTATATCTAGCTAGTACAACCACTGGCAAACGTCACTTTGACGTAAAAGGTGCGTTTAAACGAAGTAAAAATTTAAAAAATGGGCTCCTAGATACGTGAACCTGTAAAACTATTCCGTGACCGCAACTGTACAAGCTGATTATAGCCACAAATGTCAAACATGGAACAAAAAATTTCGGTTTGGCAGTGTTGGCATGTTTTTATAATGTATATGAAAGAGATAAAGCTTTAGAACAGAACATTTGAATATGTTATGAATTCTGCAATTTTTGATATATATATATATATATATAATATATATATATATATATATATATATATATATATATATATATATATATATATATATATATATATATATATAATATAAAACAAGAATGAGTAAATATTTGTTTCTTAATTGCAGTTAATTATTAGAAATTTTTTGTGGTAATTGTCCTTTGATAGATTAGGGGATATATTTGGCAATCATCTAATCAGCAGTTTCCAGATTGCAACAGATGTTTGCAGTAATTAATCTCGAAAGATATACAAATATATAAAATAGTATAATCAAAATGTACATTTTAAAAGCTTTCTCTCTTTATATTTGAAGCCTACAACATATGCATTATAAAAACCTCCATTGCCAAACCGAAATATTTTATTTCATGGTTGACATTGTGGCTACATTCAGCTTGTACTTTCGGTAAAGTCAAAACCTTTATTTTCATTCATAGATAGAAGAAAAAACATAGATACTAAAGACCTTCAAATAAATCTGAATTTGTATTGAAATCAGAAGGCTAATATCAAACTAGAAAACGAAACATCTCAAGAAATAGAAATACGCATAGCAATACGACAGGGTTGTGTCTTGTCACCATTGCTATTTAATGTATATAGTGAAAGAATCTATCAAGAAGCTCATTTAGAGTAAAATGAAGAAATTGTAATCAACGGACAGGTTTTAAACAATATTCAATATGCCGACCATACTTTCCTAGTCACAAGCACAGCAGAAGAGATACAACAACTGCTTACAAATATAAATCTTGCTTGTAATAATTATGACATAAAGATCAAAGTCCAGAAAACGCTAATTATAATAAATTACACTCAAATTGAAAAAGAATACAAGTACTTGTGAACTTTAATAAATTAAGCAACAGTGAAATAAAAAGATTTATCGAAATTACCAGGACCACTTTCATTAAAATTAATTATGCATAGACATAATAAAAATAGACTAGCCATTGTGAACAAAATAGTGACACACGAAGCACTGGATCGGTGGTTTATCTATCTCCCTTTAGCAACGAATTAGTCTATTGTTGGGTTTTGAGAAAATGCTGAAGCAGAGGGGTCATCTTTTAATAATATAGACATCTGTCATTTGTCAACCCCTAAAACTACAGTTGTGCAAACTATGAAATTAAATATGGAAATGCTTGAGGTCGCATTTATTATCTTAAAATTAATAGATGGCTTTTAATATTTACACCTCATTGGTAACTCTATGCCACAAATATTTCACATGGAATCAAATTCTTCAGCAAATAACCTGTCTAATGATGTACTAAACATGGGCATTATTCCCCATTTAAAATTAAGGGTTTTTGGTACTGGAAAGGAGGGGGTTGACAAATGACAGATATCCATATCTCTAAAAGATGCCCATTTTAAAATGAAAATCGATGTGTTTCAGTATTTTCATAAAATCTAATAAAAATTTCTAAATATCAGAGTGGAGTCTTTTGATAAGTGGACTTTGCATAAAGATAATAAAAAATAACTACTATAAAAATAAGGCAAAGGAAACATAATCTGAATTTCTGTTACTTGAACATGAAAGACTATATTTAATATAAAACCAGATGAAAATGTGGAAAGAAATCTTTAATGTCAAGCCTATAGGGTTTATTCTTTGAAATATAAGATGTTGATAAATAAAACAGTATTTTATTATAACAAAACATTAACAATTTAAAAATAAATTAACATACATTAACAACGCAATTGCTTCTTACTCTGATGCTCTTCTACTAGCATCAATTTGTGTTTGTACTTCATCACTTTTAATATTTAAACTCCTTCTATTATCCTCTGGCTTTTGCTTACCCTTGTCTTCATTTATATCTTCTTCGCATTCTTCAGCAAAACTACTCCTGACTGCTTCAGCAAAAGCATCTGGATATTGTGTTGATAGTTTTGTTTTAATCACTCTAATTTTCTTAAATATATAATCCAGATCTTTCTTTGTTTCTGTCAGGAGTTGGATGTGCTTTTTGAATTCAGGCCCAACAGTCTTAAGTCTTGATATACTAAGTGCATTGCAATTGGTAAGCATTTCATTTGTTTTTTCAAAACGTTGCAACCTGGAAACACAGTACAAAATTAGAATAACTTATAGAAATATAGTCACAGTTCTGACAAAATAACTCAATATTTTTGGCTCTCAGAGAAAAATTTTAATTAAAATAAAAACATATGAATATTCATTACACAAAATTTTGGTCTGATAGACTGATACATTTTAAGAAAAGTTTTCTTATTATAAATGATTTATACTTCAAACATGAATGGCAATATAAATATTTTTGGAACATCTTTATATGCATATCCTAAAATCATCATGTTAGAACAGGTTATTCATAAGAACTATAACAACTGTATACTTATACTTCAATAATAATTAAATAAAATGAGGTTGGGTCAGGTTATAACTAAATTAATATATCATACAGATAGGCATTACAAAGTGAAAATTATTGCAAATGTTCATTGAATATTTATAAGTGTTTAATAAAAACATAGTTCAACATACATTTGTTTTTGAGCTCTGATCATTATTTCTACATCTTGTTGGTCTACTATTCCAGCTAATCCTTGTATGAACACTTCTGGTGCAGAGTAATTCTGAAAACATTCTATACTAAACTCACTCTCTGGTGTACCTTTACTTTCATCCATTACGAAGGTCACCAATAAACACGGCTACCTATTTGGTTTGTATCTTCAATATTAATGAAAAATGAAAGTATTTAATATTTATAAACAAACTTATGTCACGCCAACCAAATGTTACAGTTACAGTACATAGCCTTCTATTAAGGTAAGTCCTATAGAAAAATTTGGGAGACAGTTTCTAGCGCCAAATGCGGACGGGCCGAAACTAATTTTATTTAGCGGTAAATTTAAAACGTAGAATTTGAATTTTAGGCGACAAATTAAAAAAAAATATGATCTGAATTTTATGCGGCAAAATTCAAATAGTATGCTTTTAATGAAAAATATAGTCATAAAAACTTATTTTATACCAAAAAATATATTTTCTTTGTCCAAAAATATAGTATACAATTATGCATTTTTATAATATAATTTATAACATCAGAGTATATTATTATGGTACATGAAAGTTTATATTTATTATTTTATGATCATATCTGCCTTTCATTATATTAATAAACCAAAGTCTCGAAAACAACAAAATAAAAGACGGCCATCCTAACACTTGTTTATTTGTATAATTTTGCCTTTATAATCTTTAGTACTGGTTATAACAAATATACCGGGTATGGAATGGAACTTATCATACCTTCTAAAATACTCTTTCTTAAAGGACTCACTGTAGATAATAAAGTGTAATCTCTAGCATTTCTGCGATATTGCTCTTCAGGATAATCACAAATTAGCATGTAACTATTGCTCACAAGTAGAAGCAAAAAATATAGTATGCGTCTGTCTATATTCTGTGGTAGAATATCCATGAAAATCTATAATAATGAAATGTTATTAAAATTAATAATGACTTTTTGATGAATGATATTGACCTTTTTTTTTATAAAATAAGGCAACTTTTAGGAATGCAATATAAGAGTGGCAATATATTAGGTGTTGTTCTTGCCTGGTGATTGTAAAAATAAACTAATCCTCAGAATGTTTAAGAGCCCTTCATCCAACCAAAGAATATTCTTTGATCCAACTTCCATCCAAATTTCCCCCATCCACAAAAAATATTCTTTTGATTGTTTCTATTGGAATACTATACCATTGTGGGAATGTACCTTCTTCCGTTTTAGCAATGTTTATAGATATATAAAAATTGATATACTGTTGTATACACTTGTTTTTATCTGCTATTCCTAAAATTTGGGATAAAATGGTTTTGTTTTTATAACGCCATTTGCAATTTGCAAAAAATGCAAAGGCATAGATTACAATGTTGCCGTTATGCCGGTGCCCCACTAACACAGTTTATTTTTTCGGTGGATTCTAAAAATTCTTTAGAAAAAGTTATGTAAATAGTTGTGATTTTAGTAGAACTTGCTACAATGCTTGTTTTTTCGGTAAGTATTGTACAGTGTAAACATTATTTGGGTAAATATGCAAAACTAGTAAAACCATGGCAACGGTACATACATCAACGTCATAGATCTCTTGATGTGTCATACCCAATGACGTATGTCATACCTGACCAAACGTGACTAGTAGCGCCGTCACCATTATAAACGGCTGGACCCACGAAACTCACTCTCCCCACTTGTTTTATTTCAGTTACACTACTAGGTGTGGTATATACTGTGTTATTAGTGGTCTGTGATACTGTGCTGACAGTGACATTTGTACGAGAAAGTATTACCAGTGTCGCCAACTATAACAATAGTGTAGTGTAGACGCTAAAAATTATTTTCTAACACGTTCTCTGCCACATGATTTAATGAAATGTTGAGTACAGACATCTGCAGTATTACAGAGCTGAAAGTACTTGAAGTGAGGTCTTAACTACTTTAATAAATATTTGTCTATATTAATATGGTATAACTAGGTCTACTCGGTTCACTGATCCCAGTCCCAACTGTCCAGTAAATTTAGTAATTCATTTTTTGCTACTTTGTAAAAATTTTGATTTTCACTAGAAGTGGCTGGAAGTTACTATACAACGAAGCATACGTGCGCATAGCCAATATCAATTGTATGGTTAACATGCAGTTATTTTTTACATGCAGTTTATTAATCCAATAAAACTTTCACTGATTAAAACAATGCTAGGTTTCAACGTTTACTTTTTAATTTTTTTAGTTATTTATAAACTAGGACATATTTACAAATAAAAAGTTTTTAATCAAGATAAATTAATGCAGCGTCCCAATATTTATGAATATTATTCTTTTTTCAATTAAAGAAGTTTCTAACAATAAATTTGTTTCAATTATTAATAAAGTGTAGAGTGTAAATGAAAGAACCAAGTAGATTTGGACCTGGGCGGACCTGCTCGAACAATATACTCACCATAAAACAACTACCAAGAGGCTAGCAAGAGGAATCGACCTTTGAAGATTTTAGTATGTCATCTGACTCGGTTCTTTTGCAGAAAGTATGAGTTGCTATGAAAAAAGCAGGTTTAATAGTGTATACATAAATGCTCTAACAACATTATATAGAGGAAATCAAGCTGTTGTTAAAATCGTGAATCATACCTTTAACACTTATTTTACAAACAAAAGGTGTTACACAGGGCTCTTGTCCCTTCCCAACATTGACTAAAATTTATTCCCGCAGCGTTTTAAAACGGTAGATAAGAAAATGCAGCCTATGGGGATACAGGTGAAGGATATTTATTTGTTTACAATCCTGTTTGATCAATAACATGATAAACCAACTCTTTACAAAGATTTCGTTTTTTGTCATTATAGGTTTTGTGTCACATATTTTGTGTGATAATCTGTAATTAAAATAATTGTAATAATTTTCAAAAATACTGATATAACTCAAAAGGATGCTCTAAATAATGTTAAACATAAGTTCAACTTCTTTACATGACTGACACAACTTAAAATCATGTAATATTCTTCACAGAAAGTATTTTATTATCTTATTGTGTTTTTAAGAAAGGATGGCATATCTCAAAATAACTTCATGATATTATCATGTTAATAATTTTAAACATAAGATCAACTTCTTTACAAGACTGACACAACTCAAAATAATGTATTATTCTTTACAGAAAATATTTTATTATCTTTTGTGTTTTTGAGAAAGGACGGCATATATCAAAATACGACAATATTGTGCAAAATGTTGAACCAACTTTTCGATTAACAGTAATGACACTTCTATCATCTGACAAACATAGGCATAAACTAACTTCATGAAGTTATCACACAAAAAAATATACAATATTTCAAATCTGTTCATCAACATAGTCCATTTTACACTTTTTTGAGATATGACGGTCTTGAAGGCAATAATAAACATTGTAAAAATCAACATAGATAGGAACTACAAATAAATCAAGGTTTTTCTTAAAATATGATCAATTTTATATTCTGTTTTTGCTCGGTAGGTAAACTGCAACCGCTGGTTCATCACTGATTACTACAAAAAGGTGTAAATGAAATACATGTTTTAAATATATAATTTAATTATGTAGTTACTTATATTTACATTTAAATTAAATATAAAATCAACTATTGTATATATCCAATCAGTGAAACTTCAGAAAAGCTATTTACTCTTCAAAAAATGGACATAAAAGTTTTACACATTAAATGTTACACATCAAAATGTTTACTTTTAAATTACAAATATTGCAATGTTAACGATTTTATTGTTAAACAATATGTTTGATAAGTATATAAAATTGTTACTTATTTACAAAGTAGAAATCAAATCATTAGTAAAACTTCAGCGATAGGTTTAAGATGTTTCTCTCTTGATAAGTTTAAATTTCAAAGGTTGTTCTGGAACGTATGTAGGCGTGATCTTATAAGTCAACGGACCGTAATTGTATTCTACTTTATATCTTCTAAATACCTAAAACAGACAAAACATAATTGAAATAAATAGATAAATATAAATATATTCCCTTTGGTGAAGGACAACGAGTCCCCATTCATTGTGCGACTGTGATCATAACCTACTGATATGACATCTTTCCCCTTTTTTTTTACATTTGGTAGTCATTAAAACGCACTGAAGCCCTTTTGAGTCTAGCGCAAGTTCTATTTTCAGCATTCATCTGGGAGCTTGAAGGTTCCTCTACTCCACGACTCTGATTCCCAAATGAGGAGTTCTATGTTCTACCATTATGTGCAAAATCAGTATTCTTCTTAATTTCCCCCTTTAACTAGGGAAGGCCTCAAGTGATAACAGTTTCGCCTGACCACTTCGCCATTTTCTTTTTGCACTAAATAAGATCTGGGTGCCTCATCTACTCTTTCCAGAATTTTACCTGGTCTCCATTCTCTACCCTCTCTGATACCTACATTCTCTCCTGTGTAGGAGAGAATGTAGGTATCAGTAGGTACCACTTTTCTTTCACTGTGTAGTTGACGTTGTAGATTTTGTTGATTTTCTATGTTGTAACCTCCTTCAATATCGTTTACATTTAGATGTTAGCTGAAATGTTGCGCCCATCCGTTAAGAACTGATCGTTTTTATCATGTAGAATTTCACCGTTAGTGTCTTTACAAATTTTTAATCGTGGTTTAAATTCTCGGCGGCTATCATTTAAGGATTTGAAGTAATTTCATATTTAGACACCTTATATTAATTCTCATTTAGTTGGAATTGGTTATAAAATTATTCTTCTGTTGACAGAATTCATCTGAGTGATACTAATGTTAATAAAATTTGTAATTGATAAAGAAAAGTTGAATGTTATCATGTGTATGATCCTTAAGTCAGCGTAGTCAAAATAAAAGAAAATGCTTTTGTGATCAAATAGGAGACACTAGTCATATACTAAAGATATTCCATTAGAGCAGCTATGGAATAAGGGAAATTTTTATGAAACCGACGATGTTAAGAAACCCGCTAAGATAAATATGATGAAACCCCTATGATAGAGGAATTATAATTAGAAAATAAAAGTCCAGAACGCTGGCTAAAATATTATGTAGCTAGCTAATGAACATGAATTAAAGAAATATAAGAAAGAATGGAGAAAAATAGTAGATAAATAGGATCTCAAAGTAATATTTTTTATGAAACTTACTTTTGCTAACAGAATGTTTAATTCAACTTCGGCAAATCTTCTTCCTAGGCAAGATCTTCTTCCATAACCAAACGGTAGCGTAACGAAGGGGTGAATCTTCTCCTGGTTTTCGGGGCATCCTGGATGTGCAGACTTTAACCATCGTTCCGGAATAAACTTTTCTGGTTGCGATATGTACTCTTCTACATTACTAACTACTAAATGGGGAAATATCACGTGGGTCTAAACAAAGAAAATCCTAGTGATAAATCAGGCAGTTATAATCAAAATGAAACTAAATATTACATGCACTATGTTGCTTTCTCTTTACATTTGGAAATAAACCGAAAAAAAAAAATATATTTAAAATACTTTCTATGGATGGTAATATTGTTTTATATGTATTTTTAATATTTTTTTTAGCCACGGTTTGACTTCCATCGAGGCAAGTGTAACACATGCATTTCAAGCCGCTTCTTCAGATGCCGGAAAACGTAAACCTCTTATTTTTGCAGTCAGAGGTCACGCACAGCGGAAAGAAACGTTGTGTTTGGTCTCCCTAAAGCTGCCAAAAAATTAAAACCTAGATGTAATCATGTTAATTCAAAATTTTTCCAGTGTGAATCCAGTATGGAGAATTGGAGACAAATTACGTCAGCAGTTTTTTATGAAATTTTTATGAAAAACGAATCTCATGGAAACACATACCCAGAGGATGTCAACAACATTACATATCTGGTCTGAACGATGAAGCAAAAGACATTATGACAAAGTACACCGAAGAATATAGTAAAGACCCATTTAGCGAAGTTACGGCAGAGATAGGGGAGAGACTGCAGCAAATACTAAGTGCCTCCAGACAACAACGGTGGAGCGAGACTTTAAGTAAAATGGACATGACGCACAGTAGTAAGCAGGCTTGGAATATGATCAAAAAACTTAATGGTGATCCCACAGAGATGAAAGAGCTATGTGCAATAACGCCAAATCAGATAGCTCACCAACTGCTTCTGAATGGCAAAACAAACAATCGTTGCAAAACGCCAAATATTATAAGTATGTGCATTCCATCTCAACAACCAACTGGCGCATGTAAAACTGAATGTTTCTTGGGAGGGACAACGCTTGAAACATACTGATAGGCCCAAATATCTTGGAGTGATACTAGACCGGTCACTAACGTATAAATTCCACTGTCAGAGCACAAGACAAAAGGTCTCTACGAGAAACCACCTTCTCCGGAAACTTGTAGGGAGCAAGTGGAGGTGCAAACCCCCAGGTCTTGAAGTAACAGCTGAGGCCTTATGTTTCTCAACAGGGAATATGCTTGTCCCGTCTGGGGTAGATCTAGACACGCCCAACAAGTCACCACGGCGTTAAATGAAACATGTAGAATCATTACCGGTTGTATGAAGCCTACCCCTCTACACCTACTGTACCGGGTAGCTGGATTCGCATCACCAGACGACCGTAGATGTGCCTCACAATATGTGGAGAAGTTCAGGCAAACTTTCGATGAACGGCACCAATTATACGGGTTTGACGAACCGCCAGGAATCAGCCGACTTAAATCAAGGAAAAGGTTTATGAGAAATGTCAGCGTCGAACCATCCGAAGTGTTCCCCCTACATCCAGAACGACCTAATGGAATGAACCTGGACTGGAGAACCTGGCGGACACTCAACCGCATGCGCACAGGTGTTGCCCCTGTAAAACAGAACCTCATTAAATGGGGCATCAAGACAGATAGCGATGCACTCTGTGAATGTGAGGAAATACAGAACGTGGAACATCTGAGAGTATGCAGACTTTGCCCATCGCAGTGCACCTTCGATGATTTATGGCTCGCAAATACAAAGGCTGTAGACGTAGCCCGATATTGGGCAGAAAAACTGTAATCGGATCCAGACTCGAAAAAGTAAAAAAGTAAAGTATGAAATTTTGGAAAGTAAGTCGTAGTGAAAAAAAAATGTTTTATTAGATTTTCAATATTTAGAGAGCATGCTGAACAAAGGAAAACCCATACAGTGGAAATCTGTAGAAAAAATTCATTTTTCTGTAATTTGAAAAATATTGAACAGAATTTTAAAATATGTAAAACATGTTTCTTAACAGCCTGAATATTAGAGAACTGGTCATATCATAATTGGGTTTTAGAAAACACAAGAAGAAACATCACAATCATAAGTTTGGAAATTTTTATTGATAAATTGAAGAATTTAAATAGATATCGCTAGTATTGACAATTATTAAATTATTAAAATGGTTTATACATTACCCGAAAGGACCCAAATCCCCATACGTGTTAATATCTATCCGAACATTTTTGAAAACAGGTTCTGCCTTGAATAAGAAGCGTGGTAGGAAAAGAATTTTACTATGGATCCAACAACATCTATCAAGAAAGTAGCAGCCTCAACATATCTTTTACTAGATTCAAGGTTTACCTTTGAAACATGTGTAGAAAAATGGTCAGAGGATCGAGTTGAATCAAAACGCAACCCTTTACATATATATATATAATATATATATATTATATATATTATATATATATATATATATAATATAATATATATATATATATATATATTTTAATGTTAGTTAGTTATTTACCCCTTTTGGTACTTTATATCCAGCTAAAACGGTATCTGACTGAAGACTTCTACCATTGGCAATTATCACAGGATACATTCTGTAAAAAATAAAGTTATATATACACCAAGTTTGCTCAATATAATCAGTAGTGTTATTATGTAGCCATTAAACCATGGTGAATCTGTGAAAAAAACGACTACGTTTGGATGTGACAGGTGGCATTCTGATTTTTTCAAAAAAATATGTGTGATAACTTCAATATTAAAAATTGACTCATACTCCCTCTCAAATAGGTCGAACATTTTAATAATAAAATTAAAATATTTAAAAATGATTAAAAACATCGTTTTTTTTTCTAGTTTCCTTGCTTACAAATTTAAAATGATTCATTTTGCAAAATTTCGTCGTAATGAAAGCGATAATTGAATTTGCTACAAGATACTACTGGTTAAAAATGTTTTAATAACCTTCGTAAGTGCTTTTACCAAAACCAAAAAATGTAGATCAACAAAACAAGCGCCTTGCATCTGATTTCAAATTTGATGTTAAGTTTGACAGTATTAAAATCCGCTAAAATTTTCTTTTATTTCAGTTTTTTATTTTACCTGTAAAATTGGTATTTTCAATAATGAAGACTACACTCTAAGTATTTACTTTAACAAAACATTGAAATATCGGTCAAAATATGGAAAAGAAAAATTATTGTTTTATTACTTGACTTTGAACTTTTAGTCAGATTTTTAATAGGTAATTGTAACTTACCTTAGAGTTTCTTTTACACAAGCTTTAAGATAATGCATACTTTCTTGTGCAGGTATATCAATTTTTGATTCAAGACTAGGAAGAACACTGTTAAGTTCTTCGAATAATTTTTGTTGTTTATCTGGATTTTGTGATAACTGATACATCGTGGAAGCTACAGCAATCGAAGTCTACAAGAAAAGAAATTAAAATTAATTATTTGTAGATTTAGTCTATATTACTTCTTATTTCCAGACGAATATAACAATAAAAATCATAGCATAGAAAGTGTTGAACATTATGTATATCTAGGTCATGTCATCAAGCTAGGAAAACCAAATCAAGATGCCGAAATTAACAGAAGAACACAACTGGCATGGGGCGCTTTCGGCAACCTAGCATATATCTTGAAAAATACCTCCATTCCTGTAAGCTTAAAGAAAAAGTGTCTAACACATGCATACTACCAGTTTGTACCTTCGTCTTGGAGACAGTGGCCCTTACCAAAAAATCTGCTAAAAAATTAGAAACAACGCAAAGAGCAATGGAACGAATCATGCTTGGAATATCACTGAGAGACAAAATTAGAAATACCGAGATAAGACGGAGAACGAAGATTGGGGATATTGTAGAAGAAATTACAAAAATGAAATGACACTGGGCAGGTCACATAGCCCGATATAATGACAACAGGTGGACACGGGGAATTCTATAATGGAGACCAAGGACGACAGCAAGAAGTATGGGCAGACCTCAAAACATATGGGTAGATGACATAAGAGCAGTGGCAGGCAAACAGTGGATTAGATTGACGCAAGATAGAGAAAGATGGGAGAAATTGGAAGAGACCTACATTCAGGTGTGAATGGAAAATAGTAGACATAGAGAAGTTTTATTTATGTAAATTTCCGACTTTTCGTATGCTTTAAATGATGACGTACGGGCAAAGAACCATAGACTCAACTGCAAGTAACTCTGCTTGCTCATTGGCAGATTATTACCTCTTATGGAAGGTGATCACTCCATCTTTTGCGCGGTAGTCCGATATTTCAGCCGATTGGTGATTTATCTCTTGCTTTTTTGACCACACGGGTCTCCACAATTTTAGGGAGTAGTGCTGGATAAGGAAAGAGTTGCCGGAGAATATGTAGAGATTATGAGGGACGATTATGATTATGTATGACTCTTAATGTTAGTAAAGGTTTCGGGGTGACTGATAAATGTCGTGTGAAATTAGAATATTTGTGTTCTTAGTCCTTATTGATTTTCATTAATGCTGAGTCAGATAACAAATAAACTACGGGGTTTAGAACCTAGCAGGACAAAAACATCCACAACGTTCTTTTAACTATATATAGTCACTATATATATAATTTAGAACATTTTACTTTAGGACCAAAACGTATGCATGAATCTGGAGAAGTACCTAAATAGTTATAATATATGCAGTTAAAGGAGATAAAGACAAAAATAATGGTGATCTTGTGTATCATATGCTTACCGTATCTACTCCTACTAGAAAGAGATCCAAAGCCAATACTGCCGCCAGTTTTGCATTCCCGGTTTTTAAAAGTATTTGTTCCAAAATGGAAATATCTTGTTCTTTAACGTTGTCATATGATTTCGACCTGATTTCTTCGATTGAATGGGTGATATACTTCAAGCACAATCTAAAACAAATTCATTAAAACTAAATAATTTATCTTTTGCTAAAAGCAAAGCTGTGTTACTAATTCAATATTATACGGAGTCAGTCATCGACGGGAATATCTTGGATAAAGCCTTGATTGATAAGTTGGAAGGATATCTTCCGATTGGTGCTTTTATAAATATCTTCTTAGTGCAGAAATTGAATTAGACATTTTTAAAAATTTTTAATTAAACCCAACACTCACACGTTGTTTATGATGATGATCTATACAGGGGTAAAACTCCTGTTATCTTTTATATTTTTCTTCGACATTTTATGTATTCAGTTCTGTGCAGTGTTATTGCTTTTTAAAGGGGTACATCCCGTTATCTTTTTATAATTTTTGATCATTGTTTCTTTTTGTATACAACACTAAAATTTTGTATGTAGATTAAGAACTAAAAAACTATATTTATCATGATATAATAATGGCTTTGTTAAATTTTCAATTTTATTTTTTTTACATACCATTCAATTTTAAGATCGTTTTTAGAAAATGTTTACCAGCTCATCAAGAGAAATTTGTATTACAAATCTATAAAGATGTAAGCAAAATGGTATTAATTTGTGATAGCCATATCAGTTTGTAATATTTTAATTTCTAATAAATATGACGTGTACTTAATAATTTTGTATTTTACTTCTTAAAATCTTCTTTTCTTTTGGATCATTAATAACTACTTGCTAACATGTTTGCCAAGATAATATACGAGGTAAGTGGGATTAGTACAGTTTATTTGCCTAAATAATATGTAGTTTGGTTATTGTTTATAGTATTTGTTTATATAGGTATTTAGGTTTTGATAGCTCAGATAGCGTCGGTCAGATAGCTCAGCGGCTGTGCGGCTGCCTCTCATTCGCTTCACTGTCGAATGGTTCAGTGGATGTGGGATCGAGCCCCAGCTCGGTGTACAGAAAACAAAAAGTCTAACGCAGCAGTTTAAAATTCTAGATGAATCTGCGGCTTAGACTAGGATATGCTGGGATCTGATCGGCCTATGGTGGAGCAGTACGGCAAGAGATAAGGGCTTGCGTCTCGGTGATACTCCTTCATAGATCCCTACCGACGGGCGTAACGCCTAAAAAACCGGATATATATATAATATATAATATAATATATTTAGGTTTTGACGTTTCTTTGTTCCTCACAAACAAAAACAAAATGGCGCCTTCCTTTTGGGCAAATTTTTTTATAACTTGTTTTCAAGGTTTTTTAACTTGTTTTTGTGTCTTTTTGCCAAATATTTTATACCCTAAAACGGGGTGAAAAGAAACTGGAGGATGGATAGAAACTAAATGACAGTATTTTATTAAAAAAATCATAAGTTGTTTAAATTTAATCCAGGTAATAACTATTGAAGTACATAAACTCACCAAATGATAAAAAACGCCAATTTAGTGGATTTTACAACAGCAATTTATTATTAACATAATTACTTGCCAAATTTATCATAACATACCAGTAATTTGATTTGACTGTTGTTTTGTAAAAACCTAACCCTGATTCTGTTTCTATTGACCCGCAGTTTGTAATCACCCGCTGCCGTTTCTTTTCTTCCACTGTTGTGTTTACACTCAACTGCTTTCTTTTTTTTTTGTCAAGTAATTTTTTATTTTCCTTTCAGATTAACCATGCCACGAAACTACGAATATAATCCAAGGTCTAAGTTTTACAACAAACCCAATCGTGAGGCTCTTGAAAGGGCATTAAACGACATAAGGAATGGAATGTCCTATATGGAAGCAAAACAAAGTACACGAAATTATCTATTCAGTGCTCTATAGGCACCACAAAAACCCTAACTTAAAAACACCTGGAGGACCAACTACACTAACAAAGTTGGAAGAGGAAGTTATACTGAAACACTTGATAACCTGTGTTTATTGGGGCTATCCCTTAGATAAATACGATCTTAGAGTAATGAATTTATTGATTTAGAATTGAATTGACATTTTCACATTGTATATGTAGATATGGACAATAGTTCAAAAATAGTTGCTTATAATGTGTATATCTAAAATATCTTTTCTGACTGATTTTTGCAAAATCCAAAGGTAAACTCAACACTTACCCAATATTAAAAACAATATCTAGGAAAAATATTCTAACAATAAAAGGTTATTACACTTCAAAACGTGGCATTTAAAACAAACATTTCAAAATATATTTAAATGCCCAAAAAAAAAGCTGACCTTAATAACTATTTGCCGGTATATATTTGCTGTACTGTCAACTGGGCCAAGTGTACTCGCTAATTATTGTATAATATTCCAACAAAAACTTGCTGGTTCCACATTGTTGGTTTTTTCAAAGTTCAATGCCAGGACTCATTTATTTTCTCTGTCTTGAAAGTGAATGTAGTTTAACGGTGCACTTAATGGTACCATCTCGTAATATTTGTTATCTGATACATGTCTTTTGTTCCGCAACGATTTTAATAGTTATCGTTTTATTTATATTGGGATTTACCAATGTTTCGTGTTGTTTTACGTTTACAGAACGGTCAAGTAAGACAAGATTATTGCACTAAAGACTAATGGCTAAAGTCACGAAATTAATTCAAAATTGAAACAGAACGTTAATATTTTCAGAACTATTAAATAACGTTACCAAAGAAAATGAAAAAGAATAAGAACGAAATCTTTTCTCTTCATCATCATCATCAGTGGTGCTACAGCTCTAGTTGAGCCTTGACCTTCCCCAGTCTATTTCGCCAGTCGTTTCTGTTCATCGCCAACCGTTGCCAATTTGCCGCGCCGATTTTCCTTGCGTCCTCGTCCACACCGTCCCTCCATCTCAGTCGTGGTCTGCCTCTACTCCTATTTCCCACTGGGACCGATAATAGAGTTCGTCTGGGTGGGTAATTTTCATTTGCTCTTGACACATGTCCAGCCCATCTAAGCCTACCTATTTTTATGAAGGATATTACATCTCTACCGTTTACTATTTTTTTATACTTCTCGTACAATTCGAAATTATATCGCCTTCTCCAAATACCATTCTCACAAAATGCGCCCATTATTCTTCTTAGTATCTTCCTTTCGAAGACGAGCAGAAGATTTGCGTCTGTTTTGGAGATGGTCCATGTTTCTGACCCATATGTCAGCACTGGTAGGATGAGTGTTCGATATATTATTAGTTTGGTTTTCTGGCTTAAATTTCTGTTTTTGAGCTGCTTGCTTAGTCCAAAATAACATTTGTTTGCTAGCAGTACCCTCCGTTTAACTTCTTCAGATGTGTCATTATCGTTTGTTATGAGAGAACCCAAATATGTAAACTTATTTACTACCTCAAAATTATATTGGTCTATACTGAAGTTTTGTTCGGCGTTTCTAGCTCTATCTCTGTTATTTGGAATAGATGCTAACATTTTGGTTTTTTCTTCGTTTATTTTAAGGCCCATATTTTGTGCGGCTGTCAAGAAGGTGGAAGTCATCTCTTTAAGTCCTCGTGTAGTACGTGCGATCAAATCCAGATCGTCAGCGTAAGCCATAATCTGCGTTGATTTATTAAAGATTGTTCCCCTATTGTGTACAGTACGACCAGGATAGCAATAGACGTGAACTGCGCGTTAACCGTTGTAGGGCTGTAGAATTCATTTGTGGGTGTAAAGCAAGATTGGGTTTATGCTGGTTATGTTGTGACGTAGGACATAATTCGGTATTTTGCTTTACAACCCACAAATGAATTCTACAGCCCTACAACGGTTAACGCGCAGTTCACGTCTATTGCTATCCTGGTCGTACTGTACCTCGGCATCTCTTATAGTCTTTTCTAACGCTATATTAAAGAGAAGGCACGCCAGCGCGTCTCCCTGCCGTAACCCTGCATATGTTTCAAACGCTTGTGACATATCGCCTTGTATTTGCACTCTGCAGATCACTTTACTCATCTTTTCTCTTAGTCAACCAATATATTTGCACTTATAAATTCACCTGCAAAAAAATTCGATCCCTGACACATTCCCCGTTTATTGCGAGTTTTAAAACTTTTGAGTTTTTATATTGCATATATAAATTTAGAGAACCCCTCTATATGTACAATTTTTCTTAGCCTTCTATCGTCCATTTTTGGACATAGGCCCCTCCCAACCTCTTTCACTGATCTCTTTTCTGAGCAACATACCTTCAATTTGTTCCGACTATTCTTTTTATTTCATCTACCCATCTTGTCTGTGGTCTCTTGGACGTGTGACCTGCGAAGCTCCATTTGAGTATAGCAATTTTTGGTGTGATATCCTTAACTTTGGTTTTTGATTTTACTCAGTCCTCCCTCTTTTTATCTGGCAGTCGTATACCCAACATTGTTCTTTCCATTGCTCTTTCTGTTGTTGCTAGTTGATTCATATTTGCCTTAGTTAGGGTCCAGGTTTGTAGTATCCTCAAGTATTAACGTATTTTGCGGTTTTTCAGTATCCAACTGAGTTTTCCAAATGGAAATAGTTTTCAGTTAAACGATATTTGTGAAATGCATGTAAAAAAAACTCTGGTAGTCAGTACTATTTTAAAACTTTATTGCACAAGAGGAGTACAGATATTGTCGAACAAGAAAATGCTTACACTGCCAGCCTGCCAATAACTGAAAAGAAGAAAGAAGACCTTACTAACCATTGTGAAGACAAGACTGTTCAACCAATTCACGCTGTCTCTATCGACATTTAAAAGAGAATTTTTTTGTTTAAAATGACACAAAAATTTAAAAAAATATATTTTTCGCAGCAAAAAAGATGATTTTTGGAATTTGATTCAAAAATTTGTTTAAACAGTTTCTGTCCAAAATTTTTGCCCCGTACCCTTCAGATTTGTTTCAAGGCGACGTTTTTGTACGAGAATCCGCAAAGAAATCGAACCAGAAACATTTTCCTACGGTAGCGGTCTCACAACATGGACTAATAGATTGGTCTGGAAAAACAAATACACTACACTAAATTTACAACATATTTTGGAATCGATTTTATTTCCCGATAACATTAACACAAA